GAACTCATATATACAAAATCCATTTCTAAAGATGTTGGAATAATGGTCAGCTCATTCGATCACTCTAGGAAGTACCTGATGATTTCTGCTATGTTTTATCTTTACAAGAATCTGATTCCACCAAAAAAAGGATTCTTGCTGCCATCAACTCAATCCTCACTTTCCAGCATTGATAGCATCCAAAATCATGTACAAACTCTTATGAAGGAAGAATTATTTTCAATTCTGCAGCCTATTTCCCACAGACACAATATTGCAAACTTATTGTTACTCAATCACAGCTTCCATGGTAAATGTTCAAGTGAGCGCACCATTCTTTAGTTCCATCAGTTCAGTTCATTACAGCTAGAACACACCATGCCACTCCCATGGAGTTGAATCACCCTCGTTTCCTCCATATGTCAGATGTAAGAAGAAAGTACCATTCAGACAGCTTCTTCCTCCCAAGAACTGCCATTTTCTGAAATAGATGCCCATGGACATACTTTCCGAAACACTTCAGTTTTGACCTCTTCAAGTCAAGGGTCAATCATTATCTATCCTCCTTATCCTCATAATCTTCACTTCCTACCACCTCCTCTTTCATTCCTATCACACACCTCATTCATCATAACCATTTTAACAGTAACCCTCTACACTACAATCTTAACCTCTTCATGTCAAGGGTCAATCATTATCTATCCTCCTTATCCTCATAATCTTCACTTCCTAAAAACCTCCTCTTTCATTCCTATCACACACCGCATTCATCATAACCATTTTAACAGTAACCCTCTACACTATAATCTTAACCTCTTCATGTCAAGGGTCAATCATTATCTATCCTCCTTATCCTCATAATCTTCACTTCCTACCACCTCCTCTTTCATTCCTCTCACACAACTCATTCATCATAACCAATTTAACAGTAACCCTCTACACTACAATCTTAATCTCTTCAAGTCAAGGGTCAATCATTATCTATCCTCCTTATCCTCATAATCTTCACTTACTTCCACCTTCCCTTTCATTCTATCCCACACCTCATTCATCATAACCATTTTAACTAACCCTCTACACTGAGTGGCTCTTAAGCCTTTTAGTGGATGAAATTTAGTAAAAAAAGAACAAAGAAAAGGTAAAGTTAATATAAGGATTGCTGGTAGAGTTAGATTTAGAGATTGAGGTAAAAAGTGAGGATTGGTTTAGGAAGAGGGCTGGGAGAGGGGAATAATTAATAAATTAATTTTTATTAGTGTTTTTGGTAGAAAGATTTGACAATTGCAAAAATTAAAATAAACTTTTACATTTATAACAACAAAAGGAAAAAAGAAAACTGTTCAACTGTCATTTCTGCTTCGCAATATAATAGGAAAAAAAACAAACTTTTAATCATTTAGTTCTATTGCCAGTCATTTCAACACTGATTTCATGAGGAAATACAGTTTCTTGATCTAGCAGTTACATGAAAGTGACTGTTGTATTGATTGCCATTGATGACAAAGTGTTGCAAATGATAAAGAATATCATAAAACTCTAAAGTGTCTTTGAGGAATCTTTTATTTTTAATATTTATTTCTAGTGAGATTTCAGATTCTTAATTTATGCAATAAAGAGTTTAGCAAAATCTTTAACTGGAGAAAAAGAAAAAGATTACATTTTTTTGTTCCATTTTCTTAATCCATTTGATAGCTTGACCCTGAGGATCAATCATGAGAGGCCAACGAGTATTCTGGGTCACAATGATTCCATTTTCTGTAGAAAAGCTGTCACTAGGCAGGCCCTGGATATTCCATTCACGAACTTGTGTTGGTTTGGCCAGAAATGAGCAAAAATTGAAATTTGGGTCACGTGGAACACCAAGGTTGTGAATCTGCAAAAAAAAAAAAAAATATTGGGACAATGATTTCAATTCCTCTTTTGGAAGTATTAAAAATTAAAAATATCTGAGATCAAGAAATTTTATTTCAAAATTTCTAAACTATGATATTTGACATCTACCATATATATATATAAATGAATATATATAAACAAGCTGTTCCACAAATGGATTTACAGATCACTCCCAATAATTTATCAACACTGTAATGTCATGAAAAACAGAAAAATTCAGGCATCATTTCACTCAGTAGAGAATTGTAGCATGAATGATTTCTAATTTATTAATGTCCTTATTTTCTCTTTGATTTTATGACTGGTTCCTTCTTATCCAGGTTGTCGGGTAGATGAAGAAATCTGAATTAATAACACCAAAAATTGAACTGTGGACAATGTGTGGTCAACAAGTGAATGCTATGAATATAGAAAACCAAATAAAAAAACATTACAAGAGATGCTATTTAATTTGACACTCCTGGAGAGCATTGTGAAATGGGTGAAGAATTTTACAAAGATTATTGAAAAATGAAGAATTTCTTTTTAAGAAAAAACAAAATTTTATCATTATTTTAAATTTAATTCAGGTTGAAATCTTAAAATCATCTTTTTTTTCTGCAATTATTGATTAGCTACAAGTTGCGTTTTTTTTTTTTTTTTTTAATTACTTTTACCCCCTGGAAAAAAAGAAGCCAATAAGCTTAATAGAGAAAATAATCTCCTTCTCTTCCTTAAATCTTGTGACCATTCAGTTTATAACTTAATGATCATGCAAAATTCATTCTCCAATTTATGTTCAAACAACAATTTCTTGTTTGGTAATCAAACCGACTCATAAAAGTTTTTAGATTCTCTTTATCTCTAAATGCATTTATGCATTTGTACATAGAATTAATTAGTGATCATTGTGTTGAATATGAAAATCAGGGCCAATCAGAAAAGACAGTTTTGGGAAAAAAATATTACATAAAAATGATAATTTTTTGTTTTTGGCAAGGGCCAGATTTTCAGAAAGAATTATGAAAGTTGCCAACCTCTTTGAGCCAGTGTTTAAAAACCAGTTCATCTCTGTAGTTGGATAGAAAAGGTCCCATGTAGGATAGAAAAGCCGCTGCAATGAGGCAGTCACCAACCAAAAAACCCATCCTTGTTTCCAAATCCTGCAGAAAAGGGGAGGAAAAAAAAGAAGAAACAAAAAGATATTTAAGTGACATGGTCAAAGGAAATCAATGGTTGTTGCTTTTAGTTCTTGGCATTTAAGGTTTTTTGGGTCTAGAATCTAGACAATTTCATTTAGATTCTTTTTCTTATTAAATATCCCACATTGTGATAACTGAAGATCTGCTAAGAATTGTGAAGCATTGGAAAAACATGGACACAAATTTTTGTTGCTAAATTAGCAATTAAAGCACTTTCTATACATTTTCATTTTAATGAATTGTTTTCTCTTTTAATTAGAGCAGCATTTTTTTATGTCATTCTCGATATAGTGGGCAACTAATGTGTTTAAAGTGTTGCTTTTTAAAAAACTTTTTTTACTTTGTCATACATCTTTCCTCCAAAACTGCTCTTGATATATAAAAATTTTATAAATATATGCAAATATTTTTAGCAAAAATAGTTTATATACATACATAAAAAAATATTTTTGCTTTATCTATCCATTTATTGAGCTAATTTGGTAAACAAACAGAATAAAATTATATTGAACTGTTGACACTCCAACAAAATTCTTTAAAAAATCTTGCAAGAACAATAAATCTTATGAACACTATTACAAACAGTCACCAATTTTTAAAAATCACAGAGCATGAAACAGCACAGTAAATAAAACAAATCTTACTTTTTAATATGTATTGAAATGCTTTTCAAAGGAATTTAAAATAAACCACATTAAGACCATGTAAGGAAAGGCATATATGCAGGATGCGATGGGTAAATTGTCACCATTTTATATTTTTTTCAATTTTGCACTTGCATGTTGTTTGTTTTTGATTTTGTTGGTTACACAGTATGGTAGGGTCAGTTGGGCATTGTCTCTGAGAAAAAGAGCACCATGACGCAATTCACTCTGCCAGAAATTTGAAAAAACATGCTGTACTGCTTGTCATTCACACTGGAAGCTCCAATACAAACATTTCAGAGTGTTTGTGTGTCAATCTTTCACTGTCTGCAGATTGACACCCAAATACTCTGAAAGAGAGAGGAGTTGGATGAGTCTAATTGTGATTACGAAGATATGGCAGCTCAGAAAACTCACTCTGATAAGAAAAGAATTCTAAAATTTACTGGTGAGGGCTTCAGACTCAACACAAACGCCTACATAAAGTGCCTTGAGGTGATAGTGCTGTCCTGGATCAAGAGGATGGCTGCTGGAAGACACTATGGCAACAGGATTCTGCACCATGCCAAACTCAGGAGAACTCAGTTATGGCTGTCAGACAATTTCTGCAACCACATCAGCCCTTACATCTGACCACCTAAATCCCTAGGCTACAACCCCCTTGATTATTATGTGTGGGGCACAGTTGAATGAGAGACCAACAAAACTTCTTGTAACACCAAAGATGAACTGAAGGCAAGGATTATGGCAGCATTCACCAACTTAAACAAGGAGACCATTCATAAGAGTTGATAGCTATGTTCCTACAAATCCTGTGCCTGTCCATTGTAGTAGAAAAGGTAGAGTAAGAGTAAGACACACACCTTGACAGTGAGTTCCCATCTTTCTTTCTCTCCAGACAAACCAGAAACCAATTTGTCTGCACGTTCCAACATCATTTCTGTTTGCTCAGCTTTACGTCGTAATTCTTCTTTCTGCGAAATACGATCATCATAATTTTGTCGAATCCGGGCCATGTTTGCTTCCACCTGAAAGAGACAGAAAAAAAAATATTTTTCTTAAAGATTTCTTCCATTTTGCAATTGGCACCAAATGTTTGTTCTGTCATTGTTTTCTTGCAGTTCTTTCTTTTCTATTTTTAAATTTGCCTGAAAAATGTCTGCAGATGAAACAGATTTTTCCCAGCCTTGGGATTTACCTTTGCCATTTAGAATCAATTCCCAAATTAGCTTTCATTTTTATAAACCCCCTCCCCCCATTCTATTGACTCATTTCTGTCTTTTGTTCAATTTCTCACAGGCTTATGTCCATATCAAATTAAAACACTGGTCCTCGTACAATCACTGAAGTTAAGCAAAGTTGAGCCTGGTCAGTATCTAGATGTGCGACCACTTGGGAATACTACATGCTGTAAGCTTGGTTCTACATGTGGTTTTAACAGATAACAGCTTGGAGTTGTTAATCAGAGAGCCAAGTTTCAATTCATAGCATAACTACGTCTTTTAGACTTATTTACATCTTCTGGAATATAAATGTAGAGAAACTACTGTGACCACAAAGTCAGTGATCAGTTTATATATTGATTGTAATATAGAATTGGCCCCCCACTTTATATCCACATTATAATTTCTAGTTTTTTTATTGAATTCTGATTAGGCATGAATTCACCTCTTCTCCAGTTATGTATTAATTAGTCTGACTACTATCAGTAAATCATTATTATCTCCAAAAAATATTTTCTGGTTTTAAATAATCTGCAAAAGGTTGATAAGCCATAAAAAAACCCTAATCAATCAATCAACTTCTTTCTTTCCAAATAATTATCATATAGAAATTCTTGTATTGTAAGCAGCCAGGTTTGAAAAAAAAGCACAAAAATCTTGTCAAATTTACTTTCACTTATTCTGTATTTTCTGATTAAAATTCAAAATCTTACCTCTGCCAATTTTTCTTTAGCTTCAGCAAGGGCATCCTGTTTCTCTTTCAGTTGCGTCTGAGCTGTATTCAGTTTTAATTTCTTGGGTTCAACCACTCGATAAATCCGGCCATACATTTCCATGGCTCGTACCCACATACACAGAGATCTGGCTGCCCCAGACACCCGCCCAATAATATCAGGGGTAAAATCAGCTTGGGCCACATACTTGCCAATTTTATTGAGGACACGATCACTGATGTTATCCTTGTCGAAATTCACGAGGGACTTGATAAAATTTGGATCTCCTGAAATTGGGAAAAATAGTTGCAAATTCAATTCCAAGAGAATTGGATGTGAGAGTGAATGTCTTAGGAAGAGATATTGAGAAAAGGGGGGAACTTTTTATTGTCTTTTCACACAACATGACCAGCATTTTGAAGAATGTTACAGTAAGTGAGCACTCTGAATATAGAAAATCAATTTTACTGTATGTTGTTTAAATACATTCTCTGTTTTCATGACTTCTATTGGCAACAGATAAGCTAAATAAAGAGAAAAGGACTAAACATGATTTTCTTGACAAAAAGACAATGAAGTCATTTTTCTCATTTTGTTTTCTACTCAGTTTTGAATTGAAAGCTGTCCTTCTATACTGGTTGACAACCAAGGCTAAAGTGTCCACTCTGCTCTGCTATTTAATCCATAACTGAGTGGGAGAAGAAATGGATTTGTGCCTTTTCCTAAGTCATTAGTGCAAATAGCACACACATTATCACAACTGGAAGTTGAATTCAGATCACCAATTCCATATTTGATAAGACATGAATCCAATATGGCAACCAGTAATACAGAGAGCTAGAGAAAAACAACAATAACAAAAATTATATGAGCTCTGGTAAAAATTAGGTTACTTAGACATTAGGTTTATAAGTCCCCAAAATTCACTCACTTCAGGACACATGGCCCAGTGGATAAAAGCATTGGTTGAAGTAATCAAAAAGTGATTTGACCCAAAGAGTTGTAAATTGGCCACAGCAGAGGTGAACAATAACTTGATATGTGGAACTAGAACAATCTACTCCCTTGGACTAAATAAAGGATTCAGTTTGAAATTCCAATGTATATCACCTGAAGAAGACTGGAGTGTATAATGGCTGAAACGTGAATATGGTCATAAAGTCCAAACAATGTAAATAGAGTAAATAGTTGCAATATGTCATCTCAGAAATATAGACAGATGTCTCTATTTCTGAGTTTATAAACTATTAGTACATCTGTTGCATCATCTTTGGTTCATTGAAAATGAATATTTGTTTTAGGCAAATAAAATGGAAAAAATTGTAAGGAACAAATAAACATGGATGGTAGAAATATGAAATGTTCTGTAATTAAAATCAAAGAATGACTTTCTTCTCCATTTATCATTTATCTGATGCCATCTGGATAAGAAGTTTGGATTAGGACAGATTAGCTTCAATTCAAAAGCAAAAGTATTTAAGCAATTACCAGAAAAGTTTGGATTAGGACAGATTAGCTTCAATTCAAAAGCAAAAATATTTAAGCAATTACCAGAAAAGTTTGGATTAGGACAGATTAGCTTCAATTCAAAAGCAAAAATATTTAAGCAATTACCAGAAAAGCTATTTAGATATGAAACAAATAATTCCAAAATCTTTGTAAGATGAGGGTAGTGATTGTCTAATTTAAATAGTTGAAGAGTGGAGATTATTAATTCTAATGAGAACAAGTTACCTACATTCAGTTTGGCTGACTATTTACATGGGTATCATATAAAACTTTAAAATAATGAGGGAACAACAACTGTATTTGTCTTTTTATTTGGTAAACACAAAAAATATGAAGTGGAGGAATTTTGGTAAAGTCATATTGTTTACAGATTATAAGTGCGAAGAATGCTCACCAAGTTGTCGTTTGGACTCTGCCCAGGTTGGTTCACTGCCCTTCAGAATCATTACAGCATCCATGACTTTTTCTACGAGGGCTGGTGGTCGGCCATAAGACTTGATTTCCCCAATGTCCTTTTTATTAAGGGCTTCCAAAGCCAACATGGCCTCTTGCAAAGCAGGCATAGCCTCATTCAAATCTTGCTCAGCCAAATCGGCCATGTGTTTGCATTTGGCTTCTTCTTCTGCAATTCGTTCACTTTTCTGAGCCACAAACTATAAAACAAAAATTAAAGGGAGAAATTAAAAACAAATTCTTTTTGAAGAACTGAGATAAAGTATTTTTATGGTTTTAGGATGATGGTCTTTATCATTGTTGTTTTTTTATACATTTTGGTTGATTTATTCCTCAGCAGTATTTTTCATCTTGTCTTAAGAAGCTTATTAGTATATATATTTAAGGATGAAGAATCTATTAACCAAAATATTGGGTTAAAAAAACAAGCATAAGGATCATATTATTCACCTCTCTCCCCCACTCTCTCTTTTTCTCACTCACTTTTATTAAATTCTTGTTGTTGTTTTAAAACATACCAAAAAAAATGTCATGGTAGATCTGTGGTAAAAGAGACAGACATGATATTCAACCTTTTGACCCTGTAATGGATCAACTGCTCACTTAAAAGATTAAAATACCCATCAGTGGGTCAATATCACCCAAATTTGTAATCAATGATTTAAACAGAAGTGATATTGTTTGAAAAACAATGTCACTTCTGTTTTTCAATATTATATTATGTATCCAAACAGTCAAAAAGGTGTCTAGAATAAGTAAACATTCTTATGACAAAATCTGTAAAGTACATGTCAGCAACAGATGAGAAAGTGCCATTGATCTTATTAATATTTCAAAGTCTATTCACATCATCTTCAGTCTATTATGATTAGAAATAATGTCTTCTCTCATTTTTGTCATTAGCCAATTGTTTGCACTTTCTTTCATATTTCTACCTTTCAGCTTTATTTATTCCATACATTTTTAAAAAATTTATTCCATATGTAAATGACTAAAAAATATTCATTTACAATAGGTACCTCCACTAATTTGGTATGCCTAAGGTTTAAATGAATTTTCATAAATGAAAAATCTTTCTAGAAGCTGTCATTTTAGCTTTAATCAAAAGCTAAAGGGTTTAAATTTACTATTTCCAGTAAGCAAAATACTCTGTCATGTTATTTCAAACAGAAATTCTATTGGTTGGTGTAGATTCATTTGATTTGAAAAAAATATTATTTACTTTAAGTTGAAAATAACAGAGGAATGGATTTTTAAAATAAACAGTAGCAATGATTAAGTGCTTGTCATGTGATTTACAAGGTGTTAGCAGTTTTATTGTTGTTCTATGGAGACTTTATCTGTTAAAACATAATTTAAGAAAATGATGAGTTTTTTATATAATTTTTAAGTGATCAGTAATCTTAAAAATGTTGGAAATATTTTCTGTAATCTAATTTTAAGAATATTGACTTCAAAATTTACTATAGTCATTGATCTTATTTTCTTATAATGTGTATAGTCACCCATACTTTCAAAATGGGTACATTTATAAAAATGAAATATGTTAAAAATGTTAATGAATGATGATTTGTATTAAGCTTTTAAATTTTTGCTTAGTAAATATAGTTTTCGCTTAATAACCTGAGGACAGAGTTTGGAAGAATTTTTAAAACATTTTTGAAACTTTATACATTATTATAAATAAAAAAAATAAAAAGAATTCTTGTAAAAATTCATTATTCATTGAAAATTTTTTCTTCTTTATATTATAATGTCCTTAATATATATTATTTATAAAAGCAATTAAAAGCTTATCTTTTGCAATTTGGAGCAGATTTTTGGAAAAGGATTAGTAGTTTGAAAAAAAAATTGATGATTTACATTCTCCAAGGAGTCCTACGTTTGACTAATAAAACAAATTTGGAGTACAAAATTTAGTTTTGAAATTAAGTAAGTGGGGGTAACAGTTGTAAAAAAAAATATTTTTATCAAGATTTTGTAAAAATAATAATTTCAAAAATAGATTAATTTTTTTGTGAATAAATCCTGAAAGTTTCATTAAAATCTGACAGATTTTTGTAAGAATTTCCAAATTAATGTGTTATTTTACCAGAAAATTGTGCTAAAATTTCCATAGTCTGCTCTGTTACACCCACTGATGCATAAAAAAAAACAAGATTTTTAACCAACATTTTGAATTTGTTAGAAAGGAGTAAAAATTTTTTAAAATAATTAAAAAATAATTTGGCCTTTCCTCTTAATAATAAGAAACATTTTAACAATAAAACTTTGATTTTATTAAGTTTAGAGCCTTTTTTCATCATGCTATGCTCTTTTTTCAGTGACTTAGTGGAGATACCTAATTTACAATGAAGCAAAGATGAAGCTACAGATGTATTAATAGTTTACAATATCAAATATGGAACTGGTGAACTGAAGTCAAATTCCAGTTTTGACAGTTTGTGTTCAATTTGCACTATTGACTTAGGAAAAGTGGCTCCATTTTGCTGTGTACTTACTTTTTGTTGGTCATCA